GCAGCGCCCACCTAGGAAGCGGGCCCTGCCTTTGCCGTCCCCTGCCTTGTCGGGGGAGTCCGAGGAGGAGGGGGAACTGCCCACGCCATCGCCTCATCCTGATCCGGGTGATTCCTCACACCCTGATTCTGCCAGTGAGGATGAGGCTGCGTCTACGCTCCGGGTCCAGGAACGTGAGACGTTTTCAGCGCTGGTCCGAGCTGTTAGGGAGACCCTTAAAATTAAGGACGTTGCCAGCACCTCCGCGCTGCCGCAAGTGATGTTTGGGACGCATAAGAGTAGGCGTTCCGCCAAGGTGTTTCCTTACATCTGCTCTTTTTTTGCTGAATTCATTTATAAGGAGTGGAAACGGCCTTCCAAGTCCTTTTGCGGTTCCGAAGCGGTTCTCGGTTTGCTACACCTTCGAGGATCTTTTCTTCCGGTGCATTGGACGGTGGTCACCACGGACGGCAGCCTTTGGGGCTGGGGCGGGGTCTTGGGCTCCTTGACCCTGCAGGGTCGTTGGTCGCCGGAAGAGTCCCGTCTGTCGATAAATGTGTTGGAACTACGGGCGATTCGCCTCTTTCTCCTTCATTGGTCGGCGCGGTTCCAGGGTCCCAGTCGGACAACGCCACTGCGGTGGCGTACATCAACCACCAGGGCGGCACAAAAAGCGTGGCCGCGGGTCGAGAGGTGTTTGGGATTCTGTCCTGGGCGGAACATCGAGCTCTGGCTCTCTCGGCGGTATTCATCCCGGGAGTGGACAATTGGCAGGCCGATTACCTCAGTCGACAGTCGGTGGATCCGGGGGAGTGGTCTCTGCACCCGGAGGTTTTTCAGCAGCTCTGTCGTCGCTGGGGGACGCCGGAGGTGGATCTTCTGGCGTCTCGGTTCAACCGCAAGGTGGACAGGTTTGTGGCCCGGGCCCTGGATCCCTGGGCGGAGGACGTGGATGCCCTGGTGGCCCCTTGGGGTCATTACGGTCTACTTTACGTTTTGTTGTTGCCCATCCCTCAGTGTGTTACTGCTTGGTGACATCCCTACCATTCAGGATCTACGATCTGTTGCCTGTGTCCTTCAATGAACGGGAGAGAAAATAGGATTTTTGTACTCACCGTAAAATCCTTTTCTCTCCGTTCATTGAAGGACACAGGCCCCGCCCTCTTTATGGGGTGTACACTCCTAACTGCTTGTTACTAAACTGGAGACTTGTCAGCAGGTGGGGGGTTTGGCCACCGGCAGGGGCCGCCCCTAGGCTGTAATTGGTCTTTAGTTTTGTGCCTAGCGTCCTTCTCCTGCAGGTGGCGATATTACCCTACCATTCAGGATCTACGATCTGTTGCCTGTGTCCTTCAATGAACGGAGAGAAAAGGATTTTACGGTGAGTACAAAAATCCTATTTCTTCCTTCCTTCCCTCTCTCTGTCATAGCCATAAATGTTTTTAATTGGGTGATCACAACATGCAAATGTAAAGAAATATATTTTAGAAGACTGCTTTCTATGTCTATAGCTAGCTTTAGACATCTGCACCTCCTTGTTGGTGTATCATATCCTTATAGATGGTGTTTTCTCTCTTTTTCTAAAAACAAAAAAACCCTTAAATGTAGCAAATGTCAGAAGCAGGGTTAATCTTTCTTTTTTAAAATGTATAAAACCACTTGTGCAATATCCAGTGAAAGAAGGCTCCACTCTCTACGGACTCCCTCCCATTCCATTAAGTGATTCCTGCTCCAGCAGTCTGAAGAGCTCAGCAATTTAACAACTTTCTTCAGCTGAAGGAGCAGACACAGCACCACTAATAGTAATGACTTTTTATAACAAGTTATAGCTCAGCTTTCTCTGTAACCAAAGAAAACCAGCATGTAATGGATGCTCCTGGGTACCAGAGGTAAATATTACCCAGAAGATAGGAGTTCGACTGGAAGAAAATTAGCCATTAATAGTGGCTTTGGGTGGGTTTTCTTTTTTTCTACTACTGAAGAGGGGAACCTTTCGAACAGCCCATGTCATAGAAAGAACCGGTAAGGGGAAACTTACAGTCCAAATATAAAGGAGATGAAGAGGAACTTAAGAGCTTCTGTGGAGACATCATTGCTTCAAGCAGTGGAAACCATAGTGCCTATACAGAAAAAGAAACAGAATGGTGGCATTTATCCTAAATCTCTTCACTTAGGCTGTACAGACTAGTTCACTGTAAGAGCTTGTATAACGTGACTGTAAAATACACTCCTAAACACATTTTTATTCATGTACAACAAATGACTACCAAAATAGTGGATTTGATAAAAATGCATAATTTATACACAACTGAATAAAATTCCACATGTTAGGGCATAAAAACATGATACTGAAAGCTGCACCTTCATACCAGTTTAATCCCTCTTTGTCTGCTTCTTTCTCTGTTCACTTTGTCTCTGACGTCTTCTGTCCAAACTCTGTCCACTCTGCCCCATTTCTGGTCTATTAGGTCCACACCATCCTGCACCCCCCTCTGATAGTTTACCTTGTTTCAGCAATCAACCACTTCTTCACTCTGGTGGTCCACCTTATATCAGCAATCAAACAGTCAGAGGTATCAATATTAACGATAAGTTTATTTACTCAGCTGCTCTGCCATACAAAGAAGGGGGTTGACCTTACATGGTCAGTGATCACAGCCTGGTCTAGGAAAAAGAGCAGTATCTACTCTATATGTGTCAGTCCTGCTGTCCAGCTAGGGGTTTCAATGTGCTCTTCCTGCTTTGCTGTATACATGGCCAAGGCACATTTAATTATGATGGCAGCCCACAGTTAACCCATTAACAAGTCAGGCTAGGCTGTGTATAGTTTAGGCACGAGAAATACTCTATGCTGTTTTTTTTGCCACTGAACATAATATGCAAATCCATGCGAATTACATATGGTCACTCAGGCCACCATCCACAAATGGTTTGTATGAGGTTTTCCTTTGCACCTCAATGTATTTCTGTAATATTGGTGATAATAATACAATAAAAAAGTAATGTAGGAAAGAGGATCCGTGCCCTTATTTTCTGTAAAGTATAAATGCTTTAGAATATTCATGGGGACAGTTTTTTTATACGCATATAAAAAATTAAGCAAAAAAGCTTGTTTATGACCACAAATTAATATCCAGTATTAGAATTACTGCATAAAACATAACATCCATGTGTAATGACTTAATTGCACCACACAAAATGTAAACCATGATGGTTAATAAATTATTTCCCACTTCACATGCCAGTCAAGATGCACGCCATTACATTTCTCTGCAGTATTTTGGCAGCTGTAAACAGGCTAGGTTGGGAAAAAGCTTGGTGTCATCGTAGTGGTGTTGTGAGGTGCTAAATGACCTGACACACTTTTCATAGTGAAGCCTGTGACACACTAAATGCGAAGCGGCACGCAGCAAAGGGGAGCGGCAGCAAGGAACCTACGCCTGCAGTGTGTCTTGCAATTTTTGATCCGGCACGTCAGCTTGCAAGAGCTAGCATAGCTGAGATGAAAATTTCAGCCAGTCAGCTAGCGTGTATAAACCCACATGTTAGGATGTGAAGTCCATCGAGTTGTTACAAATGAATCGATTGGCTGAAGATTAAGTTTTTCGTTTGGCTGCACTCAGCTCCGCGCCTATCAGCTTCGCTTTGCATCGCTTTGCACTGCTTCTCGCGCAGTGTGTCACAGGCTTTATCCTTTCTAGGTCACCATTCCCTCCAAATGCTATACATCTTCATTGCGTGGTTCCCGGGGCACCAGACAACCCGTTCTTCAAAAGGCTCCTGGCCCGGCTCTGCTCCTTCCAAGTACTTTATTGAAGGTATTCAACTTTAAATATAAGCTAGGACCGCTATTTCTTAATGTGCACCAAATGCACAATTTTGGGTACGCTTAAAAAAAACAAAACAAAAAAAAATCATGTTAGTTAGCAATACCTCTCTTTGCTGCTGGTTGAGTGTACGAGATGTCCTTTCACACAGTAAAATAGTGTCTGATAAAGTTTCCTTCACGTCTGTTAAGACTGCTGTTTCTTTTATCACTACTGTAGAAAAAGCAGGAATAAATCAAACTACAGTAAGGAGGAATAAATAGCAATAAGTGCTTTTGTTAGCATAAGAACTGCTTTTCTCTCCATACAAGTCAAGGGTAATGTAAAAGCAGCATAAAGCAGCTTGTGAAAAAAAAACCTAGAATGATCTCAGAAGCATCTTAAACTGATCTAAAAAGCAACCTTTATTCCAACTAAATATTTAAAGTAAACATTTGCTTTGCCCATACATGCAAAGTAACACATTTACTTAAAGTGACACTAAACTCAGGAGTTAAATCTTAAAAATGCATTCAAGTACCTAAACTATTTGCAAAACTGTAGCTTAGTTTTTTATCACTCGGCTGTAGATCCTGAAATTATCTCTAAATTTGTGCTGACACTGGCCTTCCTGCTGGAGGGTGGCTACTTTTTTTCCCCTTGGTCCCTGTGTGTGTTATAAAGTAGCCATGGATCCAAGGTCGCTCCTGGGATCGATCACAGTAATTAGTAAATTACTATGACGGGAGTGAGCTTGGAGCTGTGGCTACCTTACAACACACACAGGGACCATGGGGAACAAAAGTAGCCACCCTCCAGAAGGAAGGACCAGGGCAGCCGTCAGAAATTTTGGGGCCCCTTACACGGCTTTAGGCCGGGCCCCCCCCCACCACTGGACACAGGCTTAGTGACACGCTGGACACAGGGCTTAGCGACGCGCTGGACACAGGACCAACCTGAGAGTGACACTGCAGAGCCCACCATAGATGCTGCACAGCCCATCTGAGACTGTCTATGGTGGGCTCTGGAGGGGTCTCAGGTGGGCTGGTCAGGGCTGCATCCCTCCTTTCCTTCCTAGCACCTGCACACGTGGCCTCGTCTGCTGCCGGCCAGTCCGACATCAGACGAGCAGCATCGCTGATGGGGCCCCAGCTTGTCTCGAAGCCGCTGGAGCGGCAATGCTGGGGCCCTGCGATGCTAGGGCCAGGCCTCCGCCTCCTTGCCCTTCACCGTCGGCCGATAGTCATGTAAAGGACCCGGGTGGGCTGCCCGGGCCCCTTACATGAGTATCGGCCGTACCCCCCTGATGGCTGCCCTGGGAAGGACCAGTGTTAATGCACATTGAAAGATGATTTCCAGATCTACAGCCGAGTGATACACAAATAAAGTACAGTTTTGTTAATAGTTAAGGTGCATTTTTAACTCCTGAATTTAATATCACTTTAACTGCTGCCCTCCCCAGCTGCATATACCCTCCCTTTGCTGCCTTTCTCTCCATTCACCCTTCGGAGTGGAGGGACCGGTAATTCTGGATATGGGAAAAATGCGTCTTGTTGGAACTTACACAGACCTTTCCTCCAAAGGTCGTACGTTGTGGTGTTGCATTGAAATTAAGTAACATTTACCACCATGTCATGTTCCAATTTTAATTAATAAGCTTTAAACAGCTGTATGTAAGTAGAACAAGAATCATTAGATTTTAAGGCCACTATTTCGGTGCAGGTACTTTTCAGCATGCGACTGTTAGCTTTGGGTGCCAATACTTTTGTATAAGCCTGATAGCTTAGATGATACATTTGTTTTCCAGGTTAAGCGAGGCTTAGTAGGGAGTTTAGGGCGGTTAAGTTTTAAAGTAAGGTTAAAAGAGAACTATGTTCCGCCTGTATAGAGGTAGAGTCAGCTGTGCCTGTCTCCTCCCCGGCTGTCTTTGCAGGGAGAAGATTGTGAACTGAGTGATCAGCGGTGTGTGCTCCTTCCGTTCTCGATCAAAAGAGTGGACGTGTGACAGCTGCAGTGTCACACGTCAGCTGTAACTGTTGGGATGAGTATATTTCACTCATCCAATAATTCTCCTTTAAGGGTCAAGAGGAAGGATAGGCTTTTGAGCAGTTAGATTTCTGAGTAAGAATGGAAGCAAATATCTTCTGTCTAGAATGGAGTTTTATGATTGTTGGACCCTACTTCATTCTTCATGTTTTGGCATAACACATTATATAAGTAAGACTTACCACCGCTGTCAACAACATATTTAGTCAGTGCTGATAGTCTCTCCTGCAGCCTCTGGACACAAAAGAGAAACAAAATCCCATTATACACTATAGTTAAATATATACAATCCATAAAATATGTATGAAGATCAATTTGTATGCACATTTTTGCAATCAAGAAACGTCAGGCACTGGAAGATGTTAAAGGCTGGCTTTTTATACCAACTGTTTTTGGTCCGGGATCAAACTGTTCTGCTCTGGACATGCCCTTAAAGTGTAGCGAGAGAGATGAGATCTCAGGGGCTTGGAGAATGATGTGTGGGAAGAGGCCCTGCATTCGAAAGATGGTCTCGCTGTGCGCTACCCTTCGTCTCCCCCAGTTGTTCATTGTACAAAGAACATAGCGCATCCCCGAATTTCTACAAAAAAATTGGTCTTCGGGATGACTCTAAATGGCCAGGATGCAACTTGGAACCAGGCTCGTTAATACATTTACTATGCCGTTGTCTGAAATTAAAGTGCTATTGGGACAATATTCTCAATCACATAAATTCTGCATGGAGTACTTCTATACCTAATACTCTTATGTGTATACTGGGTGTTTTTAGGTCATCTCAGTTACATAATTCTTCTATTACTGTCTTGTCCTGGGCCTTATTTAAAAACGTACGAAAAACGTACCTTTAAACATAGGGGTGCAACTGATTAATTCTATACCACTGGTATGCCTAGGTGGGGTACCACACTCTTTGTAATTGTGAGTTCAGGCTGCATATTATCCCACTTTGTGTGACTGATTACTACTCTATTGTTATGGGAGTTCTGTGGGGGAATGATGTGCTGCTGTATACTCTAAGTTTCAAAGTTAGTTTTTTTCTTGTTTATTGTAAATCGTTTTTATTAACTTTTTGAACAACCTGATTAAAAAAAAAAGTTAGTATTAAAAGCCAGTTATAAAAAATAGCTGCAGACAAAATAATCTTTTGGATAGACAACCTTAAGGCACCCTAAGACAAAATGTTATTCCTAGGTTCTATAATGGTTGCAAAGTGAATTATTACGCTACATGGAAATATCGGAGGTAAATTCAAGGAACCTATTACAGCAAGGTATTACAGTTACAGGAAAAAAGGCCCCTTATCTTACCGAAAGCATAACTTCAAACGCTGCCTGGATATCTCCCTTTTTCTCCAAGAGGTAAGCCAAGGTTTCATGGTTATTATGCCTCTGTGCAATCTACAAAAGCATAATGAAATTATCTTAAATGGTAATTTGATTAAAACATATTAAGGCCCTACTCTTTAGTATATATACACTAGTAGATAACACACAGTGTCCTGCCCACCCCACTACATTAATTTCATTAGATGTTAAAAGAAGCCCTGAAAGTCTTACAAGAGTGGTAGAAAACCCAGTTTTGGATACCACAGCAGCTAATCATGTCACCAAATGCCTAACCATTGATCATGTGATCTCAGCTGAAAGGATTTAAGGGACAGACATTCAGGCAGAGCTGCTGACTGGATCCTGATCAAGGCTTCTATTAATGTCTATATAAGGAGGCAGGGTGGGCAGAAGGATAAGGAAGGTGTTGTTATTCAGTAACATGCCCACTTTAAAAAGGTATGATCTATAGTGTTCATTATCTACTCTGACTAGTTACATGGATTTCTGAGGTCCATAGACACCTTCTGCTGACCATAGACAAGAGGAACTTTTATCAATTTTGACAAAGATGGGAGACATGTTGTAAAAAATTGCTTCCATTCTAGCTGTGAGTTTGTCTTCAAGGCCAGGATGCAACAGAAACATGTACAATCTCTAATTCCTCACAGGGGTTTTCCAGCATGCTGAAAAAATAATGTCATGGCTAATTTTACCTCTTCTTCTGGTTTGTTAAAATGATAGTTTTCAGAGTTTCATAGACCCTTATGGAAGATAATATTAAAGTGCATTTCCACTTTTGCAGTCAAATTTGAGAAAACCCCTCAATATGTTTTTTGTGTCTTCCCATTCACACAGCATAATGAAAAATAATTTATTAAAAATAGTTCTTACCTTTTAGAGGTTTCATTTTAGCAGGCAAATATGGCTGGATTTTTTTAAGCACCTTCACAGTTATTATCCTTTGTTAGGACAGGCAGTGTTTAAATCTACTTTACACATTATAAATGAACAAACCCCTCACAACCCCTCCTGACATTGCTAAGAAGGAAAAGCAAGTAGAAATGTTAACCCTTAAGAAGCCCTAATCCAGATAAAAGCAATTTAATCTGCAAGTTTAAAGTTTTTTTTAGCTTATGTTATGTAAATGGAAACATGTAACAAATATAAAATAGGTTTTATGCCAATTTAGCTGTGAAAGTGGATATACACTTCAAGGAGAAGGCCTACTGAAACAGCGCCTACTTTTATGAACCAGCCGTGACATCACAGTAAAAGGACTTCAAGTACTAGACCACCAAACCTCTCATGAAGACTCCATACTGTGTTTTCTATAACAGCATATAAACATTTCCAATGTGGTGGATTACATTTTTTTTATTAATTTCAATTTTAAACTGGAATTTTGTGTTTCCTCTTATAACATCTGTATACAAACATTAAGGGATCTCCCCAACTACCAAGGCTACCTAAATTTCTAAGAACCAAGAGCTACAATTTTAGAATTTACTAAGACTGAAGCGGACAGAATCTGGAGACATCAATCAGCTTACATCTTTCATTTTCAAAGCTTACCTGAACAAACTGAAAATAGAAGCTGATTGGTTGTTGTGCACTGCTGCTCCAGATTCGGTCTGCTCTAGTTTCAGTAGTGCCCCCTCCTCCCCGCTACATGCCACAATACTTATGGTATGGTCGATGATATAACATCCTTTCATATGCTCCTTCCTTTAAAGAAAAATCTAGATAAACAAAGTTATCCTCACCTGAATGGTCTCTTCTAATCTGTAATGTTCCAGGATCTGCAGCATTGAAGTCACATGACCAGGATCATACTGACACATAAGGTCTATGAAAAGCTCTGTGATGTGAGGTTGATTCTGTAGCAGCTCCGGATTCAACTGGACGCCATCCCTAATAAAATAATATTTTAGCATTATAACTAGAATTAAAGCAATGCAAATATACTTGTATCCAGTTTCTATAAGCGTATTGCCGTTGTATGCTAAAACATTGATCCCATTCTATCATGTAATATATAACAAAGAGAAGCCAGGGTCCCCCTGGTAAATTATCTTATTATAAACAGGGTGCAAGTAGAAAAAAAACGTAATTGAAGAAATAGAAAAAAAAAAAGTTGTCATTCCACATTAAATCATAAAGTTGCTTCAATGTGTCCCCAGATATGTTGTCAGTGACAGCCTGCCGGGACTCTGGGGAGATGGCTATTATATTAGTGGATCTGTCAGGCAGCTTGCAGATAAAGCCAGAGACAGGGAAAGAAAAGGCAGAGATTGTTCTAATGCCACCTTGTCTCTGGGCACACACTTGACATGTCCACCCACGGCACTTGGGGAAAACAATTCTTCCAACACACCAACGCTGACAACAATAAATGTACAGAACAGAGACAATAAAAGGGCTTATTACATAAAATACAAAAAAAGAAGATGCTTCTAAAACTAATATCTTAGTGCCTGGTATAACCTATAGTGAATTATTGCATTGTTTCATTTTATTAATTAGTGAACAGTAAAAAAGAAAGTGCTAAATCTTAACAGCGCCTAAAAAGTGGAACTTAAGCATGTGCAAAGCATTGACCAAAATTCAATTTCTTATTACCGGTTTACTTACATTTCTTACTTCTGATTTATTTTCCCTAATAGTTAAGTACGGGGATTATTACAATAGAAGATGCTACAATTTAGCAATGCACACTGGTGTTGATAGCATTATATGAACACATTTACAGTATTAGCACAGTTCATCAAAGGATTTGCCTAATTAAATCGAATTACCGGTACTGAAGTTGAGGTTGCGGTTGGCTCAAGAGGTTTTTATCTTGTGCTAATCTGTAAAAAAGCTCCAAAATCCGGCTGCAGCCCTAACAAATTTTGATCTGCTTTATGCATGTCACTGTATGAATGCAGTATAATATTTGTGCATGCTAACACCAGGCCCATGTTGAATCCTCTATGTACTTCTATGAATATTCCACTAGGCTGGTGAGTGGCAATACTACGCAACATATGGGCAATGGAATGATTCACAAGCCACCAGACATGGCAACATCTGTACTGCCCCAATTACGTGGACATGGGACTATGGAACAACTTGCAAAATGTGGGGGGAAGCCCAACAAAAAGAAAGACAAGGCATTATGATTACAACAGCTACTATTAACACTAATATGTTTTCTTTACTGTCACAGGAAAAATAAAATGTTAATATTGGCACATCAGAGTGATAAAAGGGTTCATATGCGATGTCTTTACAATCCAAAAGGCTGACCGTTACTGCTGCATACCAAGCCTAGATTTATAAACTGTATCACAGCTGTTCGCTGTGCACATGAGATTTGCTATGCTGTATGGCTACTAGATGCAGCTGAGGAAATTCCTACGTTCCTCAGCTACATCAAGTGGCTATATAATGTTGCAAATCTCATTCGCACAGCAAAGAGCTGTGTGAACGGTTCATAAATCAGCCGTTTAGACATTTCCTAAGATACCTTGGCATACAATAAGACTTAACTTAGACTCTGCACACTTTATTTTAGGTGGATAACTAAAATGAGTGTAAATACATATAGGAAAAAAGAAAATCTGAATCTAAAGCAGAAGTAAACCCTAACTCAATCACATTCGTTTTTTAAAGCACTGCGTATTAGAAACAAATGCCATTTTTTCACAAAATATGTATTTACTTTATTTTCCATTCTTTTTTGCTGCTGATCTCCTCCAGCCTCTTTCAACTATATCCTGTCTACATGATGCTCCAATATCAATTGCAGACCATTGCTATGAACTGAATTTCTGATAGTGGCAATGGTGGGTCATGCCTACAAAACGTGTGTTGGCATGGCCACTTGCAATTTCATTCAGGGGAGCATGTAAGGGGAAGACAACGCACAACTGGGAGACAAGATAGGGACAGAGCATTGTCACTCCATTACAGGAAGTGCCGGAGAAAAACCTTTATGGCAGGGTCACCAGGTATCATTATAACAAAAGTTGTAGATTTGAAAGGAATGAAAATGACTTTTTAAATAATATTAACACTGTATACGATTTTATAAGATTGGGTTTACATATTGGGCTTATATGAGATTTTACTGGTTGAGTTTATATGTATGTTAATAGCTAATTAAATCTGTTACATAATTTCCTGTGAATGTTCCTAACAGTATAGCTGACTCAGCAAGATAACTTTCCCAAGAGATATTCGGGAATCCCAATGCATAGCAAGAGAAAAATAAAGAGGCAGTTACTGGTGGAATAGAGGTTGTTCTACCCCCTCTGTAATTGAGGTAAATGTACTCTGATTATCCAACGCCAAGAACAAAATGATATTAATGGGTAGTTGTTACAAAACACACATTTTTTTATGCCAGTCATGTAAATGTCCACATCACAGAGTCTGTCCTTCCAAATTCACATTTAGCATTCTCTCTGCAGTTCATTTGCTGGCAGTTCTTATAATGTGTCTATGCCATCATCTCCCCTCACTGTCTCCCTGATTGCCCTCCCAATGCATGTACTGTACTCCCAGTCTTTCTTTCTCTATGCATTTTCTACAGTCAGCTTTTGTTCATATGTTCGCAGTTCTCACTTACTGCATTTTTCCATTTTGATGAGGTACAGAATGCATATTAAATCACACAGTCAACATGAAAGAGTTTGCAATTCAATTATTTTGATAAGGAAACTTTGTTCCATTTAGATGCCGTTTTCACATTCATATACTGCATGAGACAGCAAATGAGCCATATGTCCTATTCCTTAGGTTTCCTATTAATAATATATTTTCTAACAGCAGTTAAAATCCAGAATCTTACAGGTCTGGAAAGACCAAATTTTTACAGCAATTATGCATGTACAGTTAGAGCTATGATGTGTTAGAGCTATAAGGCACACTAGTAGGTACAACAAAAAACCTCAATTTTAGGTGGTGCATGCAAATGTAATTACCAAGTTCTTCTATAATCTTGGAGTCCGCAGGTGAGACCTTTGCACTTGAACTCCACATTGACAAGCTGCTGCAGTCACTCTTACTTATAGTGCTGGATACTCTACTACTTAACTGATAATATGCAGAACCCCAAAAAAATCACTGGGTAATTTAACCTTTTTGCCCCTTCCCAAAACTGGAATATAAATCATGGAAAACCTGGGGGCTGCCATTGGTGACAAATGTTTAGGAATACTACTTGCCTGTCTCTGGTTTCAACATGTTCTTAGACATCGACCTTCACTGACCAAAGTCAAAACGACTGTGCGGAGCTAGCAGTGACAGCTAGCTCCGCCCAATAGTTTCCTATTGTCCAGCGGCTCTGCTGCTGTAAACAAAAACAAAAACTCTCGTGGGCGCTCTGGGAGCCTCCCGCTCCCGGCCGCCCAGGAGAGAAGCACTGATGTGTCTTTTTTTCTTTATTCTGACACGAGCGGAAAAAAAAAAAGAATTTTCCCATTGAAAAGCATTGGGACATTACTATTGGCTACTTCAATTTGCAATAGCCAATAGTAAACTAGCATTGTACCCGCCCTCGGCTGATGGACCTGATGGGGAACTGCAGCAGAGGGCGGGTACAATGCTAGTTTACTATTGCAAATTGAAATAGCCAATAGTAATGTCCCAATGCTTTTCAATGGGAAAATTCTTTTTTTTTTTCTTTCTATTCTGACATCGCTCGTGTCAGACCAAAGAAAAAAAAGACACAGCGGTGTTTCTCTCCTTGGGGGCCGGGAGCAGGAGACTCCCAGGCCGCCAGGGAGAGTTAGCTGTTTGGAGATCAGTGTCCCTGGTTAGCAGGTAACCAGAGACGCTGATCTCTCTGAAAGTGGCCGTAGCCAGCCGTACGATCACGGCTGGCTCCGCCCAGCTGTCAGAAGCAGGCTGTCGGCTGGCCAATGGCTGAGCCGCTCGGCCATGATCGGGAGCTGTACGGGCTATTGTGAATAGCCCGTACAGCACCCCTTCGGTTCTACTGAACCGAAGGGGTCCTGGGGCCGAAGCTAGCCGAAGGATCGGCCGAAGCTATGGCCAGATCCTTCGGCAGCTTCGTGAATAGACCCC